GAGATGCTTCCAAGCTGCGCTGTCACTAGGGTGTGCCATTGTGCTATGAACTCAGGGATTTTTCGAATGCCATGTCATTTCCTCCGAAATGTTCTTCGTTGCAAACAGTCTTTGCAACCTGGGTGTGATCGAGAAATAAAATAGAACATTCAAAGGCACTAGGCTACCTTTGGAAGTCTGCTTGTATCGGTCGCTGCCACACACCCTGCATTCAGACAACTGAACATCTTCCTGCCAAAACAACATACACCCTTTCGGGCACGCATGAATCTTTTGATGGGACAGTTCCAACCCCTTCACAATCTTCTTCACCTCGTAGAAAGTGTCGGCCATATGATTGTTGTTCGAAATCGCCTCACTTAGCAAAGAAGCAAACCCATCAACACATCTGTGAGGCAAATTATACTGACATTTGAGACTAGTGATTCTAGCGGCCATCTCTAATACAGACAAAGAACTCCCTTCGTATAATGACCTTTCAGAAGCCTTCAACAAATCCAGAAAATGCTTAGCAGTTGCATTAGGCTCCTCCTCTGATGAAACACTAGCCTCCTCGGAATGCCCCTAATCTTGACTATGACCAAAAGCATCCAAAACCATGTCATTATATTCATTGGACCGCCGTTCGGGAACTCCCGGATACCCCTCCCCTTGACACATCCACACATAGTAGTTAGGTACAAAACCCTTGTCATACAGATGAATTTTAACCGTATCCCCATTCCAAAGGCGTTTGTTCTTACATTAAAAAATGGACACCAAACCTCATCCGGATTACTACTCTCGGGATGATCTCTGACGTACTGAATGAATTCATCAACTCCTTTCACAAAATCTGGATTAATACTTTGCCCAATCGTCCTTTTATACATCCAGCTATGTTCTCTTCGTTTCATGATTTCAACTTCTACACAGCTCACGCATATGTACAATCACATTAGTCATGAACGGTATTTCGCAGTCATTATCCACCACAGCGTCGTGGAAATGCAAATGAGATTTGAAATGCTTCCAAAGGGTCCTTATCACTCCAACCTAACCCATCCTTGTACGTTTATTCTCACTAGTGAATGTAACCCAGATTTTCAATTCTATGGAAAATCCGCCAGCATTTCCCTACAGTTCTCCAAATACACGATGTAGGTGATTATACACACCTACATATGTAACACCCCCAAATCTCCCTCTACGGAATATGTAGAAAATACGTATAAATACCGTAGAGATAGACTTGGGCGTATTACCGCCGCGTGATAACGCAAGGCTTATACTTTAAAAATACTTTTGCAGCGGAAAATTCTTTATTCTCATTAATAAAACTTTAAATAAACTTGTTCATAATTTTTGACACAAAACAAAGTCAAACTTTTCCTAAGCTAGGTGAAATTCCCGTGGACTCCCGTATGCACCAATTAACTTCCACCTGAAAAGTTCACCTGCTTACCATAAATGGTAAACAGGGCAAAGCCAAAACAAAAGTACGTATTAGCAAATTATGCTAAGTAGATTATGTGTAAGATAAATAAAACATAATTTAAATCATTTAAGTTTAATTCAAAGAATTCCAATGCCATACTCATGTAAGAGCTTTTCCAATTCAATGCTTTCAAGACAAGTTTAAAACTCAATCGATTACGTTCCAAAACCATTTCCTCACTAAGTGTGCACACCCCCCAAGTGGTTTACTTTATGAGCAAAGGCCAATCTTGAGGAAAGACTAGGTCATGCAAAGTCCATAATCTTCTCTAATCCATTCCCTAAGTGGGATTCATAACCATATCGATTGATTTACTTAAAGGCACCTTTTAAAAAAATCTATCATTCTTGAATATTAAGAAACCTGTAAATCAATTTTAATCCAATCCTTTTTAATAATTTTAATCATAATTCAAAGTTTATTTTGATTAACCAAAAATCATTAATTCAAACCATCATGAAGCATAATTTTATAAGGAACATAATAAGATACAATTTCATGAACAACCTTCGAAGGTATCAAACCACATAACGTACCTTAATTCCGAATATCAATCAACACTTCGCACTTTCAAAGTTCAATCACGAATACACCTTGCAATTAACATAACCATACGGTTATCACAACATCTTTAGACATAAACCCAAATCTAATGTGCATGGACTATAAAACTCTTTTAAAAATAATACTTTAATATAAAATTATAACTTTGAAATAGGTAATTATATTTTAGAAAACTAACCATGAAGAAAATAAAGGAATAGGATTAAAGGAAATTGAATTTGCGTTGGAAAGGATAGGCAGAACTTGCAGAGGTCATAACTCCTTTGATATAACTCCGAATTGGGTGATTCTTGAGCCTAACCTCAAGGATTTTTTGAGAGGAATAATTTTCTGTGAAATAGAAAAATCCAAAAAATGACCATAAGTGCCCGAAAATTGGCTCCAAAGATATACGGGCAGATTTTGTTTTAGAAAAGAGGAAAAGAAAAATAGGAAAAGTTTGAGGGAAAAGAAGAGTAAAAGAAAAGAAGGGAATTGAGTTTTTGGTGTGAAGAATATGAGAGTTATGAGGGGGTATTTATAGGTGTTTAGGTGATGAGTTTATAGAAATTTAGGGTTGTATAATTTATGAAAATTTTAAAGAATAGAAATTAGGGTTTTAAATGTATGGAAGGATATTAGATTTTATTTGGTCATGAAATATTATTTAGTAGGTTTTGAGCTTGGAGTGCAAGTATAGAATAAGATCAAGAGATTTTAGATTTAAGAATAGAAATAAGGAATTTTAAAGGATTTTTATTTTTAATAAATTAAATTAAAACCATTTAGAAAATTCATGAGTGGCCGAAAATATTGACATATAATAATTAATTAAATCGGATTTTTATTATATAAAATCTGAAAATTAATATATTTCATGAAAATAATTAATTTAGAAAAATATTAAAACAATTTAGATTTTTATTCTATGAAAACCGAAAATTTAATTAATCTACCGAATTAATATAATTTCGGTTTAGCTATTTAAATATTGAGAAATCAAAAATACTATTTATAACATAAGTATAAAATAGTTTCATTTATTGGATTATCCAATTTAATTAGTTTTGTAAAATAATGATTTAGGCGCCAAAATTTAAATATCATTTTGGCTCCAAAACTAAAATACTCTTTAGAAAATAATTAATTTGGAAAAATACGTTAAAATATGAGATTAAAATACCTTTCAAAAATACGGGGTATTACAATATATGTACCCAAAGAACACGGTAGAGAAATGCATGAAAAGGCAGGATTTTCCCTAAAATCAAAAACAAGGCTTACATTCACCACCTAAGTGAGAATAAGCGTACAAGGACAGTCCCAATCGGGGACTATTCAAGACATACTCCTAATGTGTATGCCTTGAACGGGTATCTAGGCATATGATTATGCAAATGATTCATTTATTATTATTATATATATATATATATATATATATATATATATATATATATATATAATCTAACTTGCATTACATTAAACTAACAAATATATCATAATTTATCTAAAGAAAACTAACATATCATAATATTCAAATAAACCAATCAAACAAAACCAAACTACACTAAAATATCATTATATTAAACCAAAATAAGATACATTATATAAATTAAACTAAACTAAGCTACATTATATTAAACTAAAGTAATGTAACATACATCATATTAAACTAAACCAAACCAACCTACATTATAATAAATTAAACAAAACTAAACAACATTATATTAAAATAAAGTAAGCTAACATACATCATATTAAGCTAAACTAAACCAAACCAACATACATTATTATATTAAACTAAACCAAACTAAACTAACCTATTATAATACAACTAAACTAAACTAACATATTACCCTAAACTATACCAAACTAAAGTAACGTGTTATAATAAAGTAATTAAAAACTATACTTAAATTAACTAAACTAATCTAACATATTATAACACAAACACATTCAAATATTTCAACAAATTGAAATATAAATATAACAAATTGTAAATACAATAACTAAAAGCAATAATAAGCTACCATATATCTACACACCATTAGGATTTAACATGCCAAATATATACTAAATTTATAAATTTAGCTTTAAAATAATGTCTAACCTGTAGATCTGAGTTTGTAATTGCCAAATAAACAATTCAATACACAAAACCTACAAATATTCAAATTTAACACAAAAAATTAACACCAAACAAAAGCATAAACTACATTTATGATTTAAGCTTGTGTACTTAACTTAAAAAAAAAAAACCAAAAAAAAAAAAATTAAAACAGAAATGCAAACTACCTGCTGGTGGCGGCGGCGGCTGGGCGTGGTTGTTGCAGACTCGCCGGCGACTTATTCCCTAGGTGAAAACTCCCGTACACCCTAGGTGAAAGGTGGTGGTTAGGGTTTTAAGGAAAAAAAATAAAATAAAAAACAAAATTGACAAAAACCCTTACCGGCGGCGGGGCGGCAGCAGAGGGGGCTGTGGTGGCGGCGGCGGCGGCGGCTGGGTGGCGTGCCCCCTTCTCTCTCTTCCTCTTTCTCCTCCTGCCTTTCTCTCTCTTCCGCTTCCTCTCTCGTGCCCCTTTCTCCCTCTTCCTCTTTCTCCTTCTCCCTTTCTCTCTCTTCTTCTTCCTGTGTTGCCTTCTCTCTATTCCTCTCGTTTTTTTTCCTTTTGTGTTCTGTACAGAATGCAAAAGGGTTGCGTTTTTTTTTTTTTTTTTTTCGCAGCTTCCGACGGAAATTATTCCCTTGGAAATCACAGGTTTCGACGGATTTTTTCGTCGAAACCTGTGATTTCCGAGGGAATAATTTCCGTCGGAAGCCACTTCGAGGGAATATTCCGTCGTAACCCAAACATTCCGAGGGAAAAAAAATCCGTCGGAAATGTTCCGAGGGAATATTCCGTCGGTAAGGAAACTTTCCGACGGATTATTCCTACAAAGTCAATTTCCCTCGGAAATTTTGAATTTTCCGAGGGAATTAAATTCCGTCGGAAGCATTCCCTCGAAAATAAGCCTATTTCTAGTAGTGAACCTTGAACCAGAAGTTTTACTTACATGTTTTCATCTTTCAATTTCTTCCTGCCTCGAACAAAGGTTAGCAGCTGCTTGTCCGTCGAATCATGCTTGTCGTTATTTTTTGCAAAATCCAAGAAATCAACTCCCTCCGTCGACCCTTTAGATGATGAACAGTCTTTTCCATCCTTCCTTACTTCACCCACAGATTATTTATTAGAGAACCATTACTTTCTATTGTCGTGTCGGTCTGCGGATGGCTCCCTTTCTCAGTGTATACATCTCCCGGTTGGTCCTTGTCATGTTTGCATCATATCCTCTGCTCATGGCACGAGCAACATCACTTTTAACAACACTAACCAACCTTGTGCTCAACTGAGCTAATACCTGCACAAAGCATCACACTTTGCCAAAATCATAACCCAAAAACAAAACCACAGATATTTCAATTGATATTTCAAACTTAAAGTTTGCCCACACTCACCCGCTCCACGACATCATCCACCAAAGCCTGATCCCTATCCCCTGATAGTTACGCCTTCTTGTTAACACCACCAGCGCTCTCCCTTGGTACTAGGGGATGCTCCTCCCCCTACGCAACATCGACGGCCTATCAATTGAAAAAACTGTTATATACACAATTATCGACCCGCAAATCAAATACAATTATTGTTTATGTCTTACCAAAAGCTTACCAAACTCGTTGGTCGACACTTTATCTTTAAGAAGAGTTGCCTTCACCTCACCACTGTTCCACACCTTCACCCTCGGGTAAACACCCTACTTAACGGGAACACGATCCAAGTGATCCAGATAATAAATCTACAAGAAACAAAACCAGAAAGTAAGTGACTTTGACATCATTAAATTAAGAATGAGTTTCTCATCATCAGACAATAGTAATTGATTTGATATAGCAAGATAGCAATTGAACTCTTACAGACACACACATATCAAATGACCTCGGCATTTGTAGCATTGAAGGGTTCATCATTTGAACTTCTTACAGACAAACAAATCAGAAAACTGTGGCAGATGTCGTTACAAATCCAGTTCAACAATAACAATCACTGCTTATAATTTTTTTTAAAGCATGAAAAAGAACCTAAGCCAAGCAAGGCAAAAACAACAAACTTTCTGAAAAAAGGACCGTAATAAAGTTTCCAGTCATTCAAGCAGTTACATTATTATATTTCTATCTTACACTTGATGCAATAGGAATTTTATGTCATGAAAATTGTTATGGACTCATTTCTTAACCAAGATTGCTAGCATCCCATATTGGCAACCACTGTTATAATCACTAAACATAAAACATCTCCAACAAGTGGAAACCACAAACCTAATAGTCACTAAACATAAATAAACATAAAAACTCATTGAATCCATTTCTTCACAGCTTGCTTCTTATTCCAACTATTACTCATAATATTCTTTGACCAATTTACCTAAATTAGGAGACTCCAAAAAGATTATGAACATTCTCTGATCTATTTACCAGGAAATAAAGTAATGCAACTCTCCTACTTAAACACTTAGTCATGTAAAATTAGAAAGTAAATAGTCTTCGGTGTAGAACAATATTTTAGTAGTCAACATTAAAGGAAGTAAGGCTCACCATAACGAACAGAAAACTGCCCCCATAACCATACCTATAACCATCTTTTTGGAACTTCCTTTGAAATCTGTTAGTCGTGTTGCATAGTGATATGTTCATTTTACATAGTGTTTTACCCCCGTCCCTTGGTCATGTTTGGGAGTATTCTTGGTTCTTTAGAGCCACTTCTATTACTAATATGCGTTTTCTAGTGTTTTCGTAGTTTTGGTATTGTTTTATAGGAAATTGCGGCTTAGGAGCATTTTCCCGGACTTATTTGAACCACTACGAGCATTGGAGTAGGATCGCATTCATATAACCACATTTCGAAGCCCAAGGCCGCGTTGGAGCAATCAAATCGGTGATTAAGGGCTCGGTGAAGAAGAAGAGTTCGAGGCATTGGACTGAGTCATAAAGACCCGAAGAAGAAATTGCCCAATTGAAGAAGTCCATGATGCCCGAGAGCTCGCTCGACCGAGGAAGACCTCGCCCTGAGGCGCAGATGGAAAGAAGTAGATCTTCGCCTGAAGTCGGGCCCGGCCTAGCGAGATGGTGTCCGACCCCGGGCGCGTGCTTTTGAGGAGCGTTTTTGAGACTTTTACTTTGTTTTAATTTAGGATTTAGGAGCCTAAGTATAAATAGACTTTGTTAAGCAAGTTTTGGGACCTCTTTTCATTAGTTAATTTTTCAGATTTTAGTTTTAAGCTTTTGGTTAATATTCTTGTTTTCTCTCTCTACACTTTTAGTTTATGCAATTCGTCAGTTCCGTTTATTTTGGTAATGATTTCTTCCCCTTTTATTTTCAATAATTAATTGATTGATTAAATATGTCTTGTTTATTTGCTTTGCTTAGTTTAGATTTAAATATGTGAGTAGTTTTAATTCTAGGATTGTGGGAATCCATAAATAATATGACAGGATAATTTATAATTGTTGATTGTCAATTTGATTGATTTCCTATTGATTGATTTAATGCTATGCAATTAGATTTGGCCAGGTTTAATTGTATGAGTTATGCAATATTGATTCGAGATTCGAGATACGAGAATTGATGTTTAGGCTTAGTTTCAATAGGCAGGTTAATTTATAAATGGTTAAGTCAAGATTCGAGAGATGCGACTTAATACCGGTAGATTAGTTTTGTGATTGTAATACATGGCGAAAGCCCTTTATAATCTGATTAATTGATGTATTGATGATTGATTATCGTGTTTTACCCTGGAATATTATTTATTGGTGAGCCTATACCCTAGGCTTTAATTTATTGATTTCCTCCCTTATTCAATTTGTTTTAGTTTAATTATTCTCCTTAGTTAAATTCCTATAAAAATAATTTGGCTACTTGATAATCTAGATTATATTAATTATTTAGGAATAGAAAGACTTGTTTCCCTGTGAATTCGACCCTACTTCCCTATCTACTTTAGTTAGAGGACTTAGGTAATTCTTTTGATTAGATGATACGACTTTAGCCTGTCGCATAACCATTTGAAAGTCATCGAACACCAGTCATACTTGATAGCCTCGGTAGCCAATGTCAATGCTGGAATGAGTGACTTTGGAAAGTTTGAATTATTAGTGGTTGTACAAACCACTTTACCAAGGGCTACAAGTAGAAAGGCTGTCATAAAATCCTCCTCTTCAACTTCATCTGCAACGGGAATTGGTTCACCCGATTCATCCAATTGACATAAAGCATCAGAAGCAGATTTCGACAAAATGGTTTCTTTGTTCGCACCAACACCATACAGATTAAAAATCCTTCTCATCTTCTGCACCTGCTCCTCATCATTCTCACCAACATCAAAAGGGACTTTTTCAGCACCCATAGGTAACCCAAGTACAAACCTCACTTGAGCACGACCTAAGGGTAAGATCTCACTGTTACCAAACACCATTGTGCCATCAGGAAGCACTCTTGTCAACAACTAATAGCAAAATTGCCTCGGTATATTTTTCATGTTAAGATCCAGGAGACCTTCAAACCCCATTTCTGCCACTAACGCGCATCTTCTTGGATCAAAACCTTTGACTACTTGGCAGAAGGATTCAACCCTACATACAATGTTGGGGTACTACTACACACAAAAGGAAGAAGTATACATAAGTAGCTAACCTGCAAACCCTACTCAGTTACATGCACCAAATAAAATTAACTGCTACAACATCATACCTTTCTGACGTTCTCATGATGGGTCTTCAACACTGCCCCTTCGCTCACCACCTTTTGCCCTTCAATTATTTCACCCTAGACACATACAAATCACAAACACAAAGTTATTCCGTACTTTAATTTGGATACTAATAGGTATTATTATTCACACTTTGGAATTCTGTGCTACTAATTTATATGATCTCAATTTAGTTTAATTGATTGAACTTGTAATTTAATGTCTAGGTAAGGTGATAAATATATGTACACTAAATGATTTACACTTAACTTGCTTGATTTAATTACACATTATTAGTGAAGATTAGTATGTATTATCTAATCTTCCCTTGCCACTATCAACCATTATCTTCAATAGCTTGACTTAAACATAAGGCTAAGTCCAGTTCTTAGAATACTAAAGCATGTTATAGATATATGTCTCTTGGTAATTATATATTCACTATACCTTTGGCCTTTTCCTCTTCCGACTCTTACTCTTTACGAATCCCATCATCATCTTCATGAAGTCAGAGGGAGTGCACGATTCCTCTTCACTATCTTCATCAGAATGGTTATTACTAGAACCATTGTATTCATCATCTTCTCCATCATCCACATTCTCAAAGTTCTTGGGTTGCTTTGGCTTCTTTTTAGAGTTTTTCTTCTCCTTCACTTCAACCCCCTCCCCCTTTACCAAAGGGGTTAGAAGTCGATGGATCCTATTGTAAAAATCGCAGAGAAAATTTCAGAATTCACCTACCACATTCAACTACAATATAAATACAAACACACAACACTAGCTCACCAACAAGTGTTTCCAGCTCTTCGATCGCACAACTGTCTTCGATCGCACAATTGTCTTCGATCTCATGATTTTCTATTTATAACCTTTTGCGGGGAATACAAACCTGACAATCCAGGGAGAAAATCACAGATGTACTTAGCATCATGGATAAAAGCTTCTACTTCAACCAATACAACCAATACAAAGCTAAAACTCAGCTTTGCACCAAAACAAGAGAACACAATAGTTCTTATCACAGACTCAAAAACACAATTAAATCAAAACAAGGGAACAAGCTGCCTCATCATCATCTCAAAGATTCAAAAGCTCTATTAAATCAAAACAAGGGAACACACTAGTTCATGTCACAGACTCAATACCTCAATTAAATCAAAATAAGAGGGAAGAAGGGAACAAACTACTTCATCCCCATTCAAAAGGAATCAAATCAAAAAAAGGGAACGCACTACTTCTTGTCAAATATTCAAAAGCTCATTTATATCAAAATAATCAAAATGAGAGGAACAAATTAGGGGACTTTCTTTTAAAACCACAAACCCCGTCATTCTTTGCCATTTTAAAAACCCACAATTTGTGGAACTTTATAAATTGGCCTTACAAACATCAAATTAGACATAATTCTTACAGTTATCACACAATAATACATCCCTAAACCATTTATACAAACCCTAACAACAACAAATCTTCTCACAATTGTAATTGGGGGCTTAAAATCAACAAAATGTATGTAATTCTTAAACCCTAATATTAATTTCGAATTAAACCCAAAACATCCGGATTTTAAAAACCCTAACTTTTAGGTAAAACGACTACATTGAAATTAACATTGACAAAGTACTAAAATTGTTTCATAGAGAACTATAAATTTGGGGAAAACTAATAAACCCTAACACTGATTTTGGATAAAACCCAAAACATCCGGATTTTTTTTAAAAACCCTAACTTTTAGCTTATACGACTACAATGAAATTAAATTTGACAAAGTACTAAGATTATTTCATACAGAATTATAAATTTGGGGAAAACTAATAAATTTATAAATACCTCACTATAACTCGCCTACAATGCGTGAATTCTCGACACGGTAAGCCCAGAAACAAATCTTCAACTCGCAGCGATCGCAAAACACGATGATGGAGATAGAGGAAATGGAAGGAAGGTAGCGAGCCTACTTTCTTAATGGAAGACAGAGTATGTTCGTATGACCATAGAGGGAAGACCGAGAGAGAAGTAAATGGAAGAGAGAGAGAAAATAATTTAATTGTAAGAGCATATGACCAAATACAAATACAAAGACAAGGTGTACAATTTTCCGCAAATACGCTGAAGAAATACGACATACTTCTGCAACGGGCTGACAAAAAGCATAACGGGAAGTGAGTTGTATTTCCATTCAAGCATATGAATTTACAAGTTTGCCCCTCATTATGCATTTGCTATTGCATATCAGAGCATCTTTATTGGTGAACCCAAATAAATGGTTCATGGGTCACTATCACCATTTCTCTCTCATCCACATCAACCCAACAAACCATTTACAATATTCACTCTTAACAATGAACACTAAACAATGGTTCATCATCAATACTCCCTACCCCACCTTATTTTATTTTTGTAAATATAATTTTTTTTGTTTCATAATTATAATTTATTAACCCGATGTCAATGTAATTAATTGACGTATTTAATATTTTAATCGTGATTACTAATTAAGAAATTATCGCATTTTTTATCAACTTTTTAAAAAACTAATTCTTGTGATTAATATTTTTTAAACAACAACGCAACTAATTTTAATTAACAAAAAAAAAAAAAGAGGTACAAATCGTGATTACAGTTCTACAACTATAATCTAGTACATTTTATTTAAAAAAAAAAACAACTACACATCGTTTTGTAAGATGTCCTTAGGGATAACCATTTGTTGTAAACCTAGTTGCCTAAGTTTTCGTTGTTACCAAATTTATTCCATATATGTTCGACCAAGTCGTTTTTTAGCTGCAAATGAGTCTGTTGATCCTCAATCTCTGTTCTACGAGACAAGTATAAGCCGATATCCACAATACGATCAGTACGGTACTCGGTAGTGTCCTCATTAGCGTTGCCTCCAGCATTCATAAACTCATTGGTATTAACGTTATTTTGATACGTCTCTCGTTCATCTTCAACGATCATATTATGTATTATGATGCAGGCGAGCATGATATTGTGGAGTATGTCGGTATCCCACGCCAAAGACGGCTTTTTAATAATGGCAAAACGAGCTTGAAGGATCATATTTTGACCCAAATTTTTTTTCTTCTTTCTATTTGTTTTGGGGTTGGTATTAGCATCCATAATTATAATTTATATTTGGAAAAAATAAAAATTTAATAATAATAATAATAACGACAATAATAATAAAAATAATAATAATAACGATAATAATAATAAAGGAAATAATAATAATAACGATAATAATAATAAAAACGATAATAATAACGATAATAATAATAATAATAATAATAATAATAATAATAATAATAATAATAATAATAATAATAATAATAATAATAATTATAGAGGGGATTTTTGAAGAGAAAAATATAGTAGAAAGAAATGGATTTTCAAAGTTGAAGAAAGTATAGCAATATGGGTGTCTATTTATAGAGGGGAAAAAATAGAGTCGTTGGTATTTTTTTTTTTTTTTTGATTTGTGTTTTGTAAAATATATCCGTTGCAAAATTACAACGGATTTATTTAAAACAGTGACACGTGTCAAGCAGCGGCTGGGCCAAGTGGCGCGCTCCCAGCCGCTGCTTTCTATTTTTTTTCCTGAAAAAAAATAAAAATGGGTGGGGCCCACAATCCATAAATTCGTCCAAATGCTTGCAGCAGCAATTGATCCCACAACCATTCACTATGAACAATTATAGAGATCACCATTAAGCCACCCATTCACTTGTTCACTCATTATGAACTATTTTTTTGTTCACCCTTAAGGCTGCCCTCAATACTCCCTTTAGATAGCCTCGTATACAATGTCGATGTAAGTTCTAAACTTCTAACTAATAATAAGTCATTAGGAAAAAGGCGGGATATCTCAAGTTTCACAGCAAAACTACAGACGAATTGTAGGGCGGAAAGAAGTGGTGACACTAAAGGTGAAACATAGTAGCATGTGAACATGAACCTATGACAATGGACCGTCTCCTACAACGTTTTCAAGAAGAGATTGAAGCGGTGAAGCCTTTTGTTTGTTTAATTTGTTTTTGGTAGTGAACGTTTAATTAAAAAAGATGGATATTTAACATGATTGGGAATTACAAGTACAATATATTTGCCTAACAAATGATGTTTATTTCCTTGAATTGTTGTTGAGCAATATGCCAATATCACTTTTTATTTTATGTTATGTAGCATTGTAGCCTCACTCTCCTGATGTAATGTATATGAGAAATACTAGTATGTTGCAGCATCTTCTTGAAGGTTCTTACAGTGATGTGATGCGCGATTTCTTAATTACTCCAAAGATTATGATTAGTTAGTTTGACCAACAAGATATTTAGTACATGATTCTCATGTGATTGAGGAAATATAATGCACTGTATTATTAGAAAATCTATTTCGACTCTTTTTCTCTCCTCTCTCCTTTAGAGTTTTAGTTTTCTTAGTCGTTTAGACTGGAAATAGTCTAATTTCTTCAAAAATTAGACTATTTCTGACCCTTTCTCTTTAATTTAATTTAGTTTTTTACTTGGTTTGCCTTTTGTTTTGTTTTGCTTTGCTTTGTTCTCTCCATTTGTGAGAGTTTGTCCCAATTTTTTTGGGTTTTTCCAATTTTCTGGGATTTTGATTCTTATTATAGATGAGAATTTTATTTTTAGGGTTTTGATAATAATTGGGAAGGTGATTTGGATTCATATGGATTTAGGGCTTGTCATCAACTCTACGATCAAAACATCAGCGCGGATTGCGAAGGTCTCTACTTGAAAAGATGTAAAAGCATCGAAAATCACTGCTCGCGTCAAGCTTGAAGCGGTGGAGTGTGAGCTATGCCAAATATGCAAATAGTTATGATTTTGATTATAAAAGTTATGTTAATTTCTCTAAATTTCTGGTTTACAAGTCGTTATTATTATTGTAGATGTCGTATGCCTATTTATTAATGAAATTATTTCTTCCCGTCAAAAATAAAAATAAATCACTAGAATCTCAAGACGCAACTTGAAAATTAGCGGTTAGCTGTTAACTAGTACACGGAGGAGTTGTTTATATTATTAGAATATTGGGTTGTATTAGTTGATCTAACTCGCTATTTGTAATGCTATTTATATTGCTCCTTGTTTTAAATCTTAATTTTGATGTTTTTTCCTCTGAAAAAACCAAACCATTTATCGTATAATTTAGCCTAATATTACCAAAAATACATTAATAAATAAATAATTGTTATAAGGACCATTCAAATATACCATGTTTAGTTTAACTAATGAAAATGAAATCAAACCGACCATGTTTTTGGAAAGGGAAAAAAAGGACTTACTTTAATTAGTGAAAAAGAAATAAAAATATGGGGTTTAGTTGGGAAATTTAGTATACCAACCCTACTAGTGTGCCAACATTAAGTTACTTCCTTGTTGGTTCTATCAAGTTTCTCAATTAAGATTTGGACCACGTTCCAACTCGTTGCCGAGTCACATTTATGACTTTATTATCTCATTATCATATTATACGACCTACAAAAGTTGAGAGCAACACAATGTTCAATGATTTGTAGCATCGATTTCTCGATCTTGATCATCCTTAATTTTTGGATCAGTGTTGACTATTAATTACCCCTTTTATTTATAAACTGTTCAAGATTTTCAGGCTAATTCTAAAAATTATACGAGTAAATATCTAATGTTACCTCAAATTCTAAGTGAAAACTAAATCTAGCTAATGATATATATACTTCTTACACAGTTTGATAAGACATACTCGATAATGTACAAGTTTGACCATATATACTAGTATTAATATAAATTATAGAATTTTGATATTAAGAAATTATTACTCTATCAATATTAATATGACAATATATTACATGATACTGTAACATTTAATTTATAATCCATATATTAGTATAGACAAAATATTACAAGTATATGAATAGCGCAAAAAAGTCAAACGCCAATTATTCAAAAATTTTGAAAGTGAGGACCTACTTCGTACAATGATTATGCTGTCTTTTTCAAGGGATACAACATCTAAAATATTATGGTGCTGTATTTTTAGCAAAACATGGATACTTAATGTATTACTCGTATTAATAATGTAATTTGAATTGATTTCTCAACTATTTCATTTGCTACTCGTATTAATAATGTAATTTGAATTGATTTTTCAACTAAACCTAGCTAGTTGAAATGGGGAATTGAAAGGCATTCTATAGCAAGAACCTCAAGTAGTGGGAACAATGTTGTCATTATGCTTTGGATCGGTAGAGGTACATGGAATCGAATTACTAGTAATAGTATAAGATTAAATCATTAAAATTTACACTATTTTATACACCAAAATATTACATATCTAAAATTTAAGATTGAATCATGTCTACTTAAGATCAAAATTGATTATATAATTGAAAATCTAATTGTAATTCATTTCAGATTGGAATTATAACACAATCATGCAGGGGTGGCGTTGAGGCAGTGCAACTTGCGCGACTGCATAGGGCCCCCAAAAATCAGGGACCCAAAAATTATATATATAGTTATTAAGTCGCATATTATAATGCAACAGGTTTTAAACAGGAGCGGAGTTCGAGACCTAATCAATACACTTTTCTTTTTTTTACAGCCAACGTCTCTTTTCAAATCTCCAACTTTCCTCTTACTTTCTTTCTCCTTAGGGGTGTACAAAAATTGGCCCGAACCTGAAACCGGACCTGAACCGACCTGAACCGGACCGGACCTGATCCGGACCTGTTGATTCAGGTCCGGTCCCGGTTCTTAAAAATCCAGGTTCCCGGTCCCGGTTCGGACCCGGTCCAAACCCGGGGTTTTCAGGTCCGGACCCGAAACCCGGGAAAATCGTAATTAAAAAAAAAAAAAAAAAAGAAGAAAACCAAACTCTGAAAAATTGAAACTGAGTTTTCGTGGACTTATTTGTATTTTCGGTGGACTCATTTGTATTTTTGGTGTTTGAGAATCGGCACTTTATAGACTTTATGTAGTTTTGTAATTGATAATTTTGGTTTGTATGTAATTATTAAATTATGCAACAGGTCTAAAAATCACAAAACAGGTCCATATGCAGGTCCATATGCAGGT